CGCAGTCCACAAGACTTCCTCCCTCGTTACGGGTGAAAACGTGCTGAGGTTTCATCCATCATATGATGGGCATCATTAGAGCTAATTGTCATTCTTGTAAGAGTCTCACGTTAACACTAGGCCAAGAACACTATCCGGCTCTATTTTATTTAGTATATAGACTCAATTGAGCTAAATGAAAATTAAAAACCTAGATAGATCGATATAGAGTGGTTTGGTTAATTTTCTTTTATGTTGGTCCTGTTATTTTTGCTCGATTATATCAGTATGTGTATTTGTGCGTGTTAGCGTCTATATGCAATACGGTTCCTTAATCAAAGTTGTCAAAGTTTTAATCTCAGGTTCTGATCCTCAAGACCTAATGACCCAAGAGAAAACTTTGACTGAGACTGCTTAGGTCCGTAAACAAGTATGGTTAAGATAATGAGATATGGGCTTGTAAGCATGAAAATCAAGTTGTGAAACCATTTTTCTTAACCTTTCCCATGTCCTAATTTTGCCGTCATGCATTCTCTCAAAAAAGATAGGCGAATTATTAAAGAAGTTGGGCATAAAAGCAGTGTCCAAAGAAACCCTCACACTTTCTTCGGTTATGCCATCTTTAGAGAGAAATATTACAAGACTGTTTGTTCATGTGGTCGATGTTATGTTTTTGGGACATGCCGACCTATTCGACAAACATTAATAGAACACAAAAATGCTTGCAAAGGTAGCTGGATCCAACGGTCAGAAGTGGCCAAACTTATGGTATGAACTTGACATGAAATAAAATGGTTTCAAACTAGTAGGTTTGCTGATTATGGTATGTTTGTAATTAAAAGAAAGATAAGAGAGGCTATTGAAATTAATAGCTTAGGAAATACATTGAATGTGAGTAGCGGTGGTAGAAAGTTGAGGATTAATAGATTGAAAGAGCGAGAGGGTGTTGAACCGCCGTCAAAAAGATGACGACTCAATTTGTCTGCTCAGAGATGGTTCCAATTTCACTCACATTCGTCCGAAATATTAGAGTAAGCTCATCAACCAAACCAGACATGTCAGATTATGCAACCTAAGTCTTGCCTTTCTTTGGAAGGTTAATCGTTTTCTCTTGGGTCATTAGGTCTTGAGGATCAGAACCTGAGATTAAAGCTTTGACAACTCTGATTTAGGAACCGTATTGCATATAGACGCTAACACGAACAAATACATATACTCATACAATTGAGAAAAAATAACAGGACCAGTATGAAAGACAATTAGCAAACCACTCTATATCGATCTATCTAGGTTTTTAATTTTAATTTGGCTTAATTGAGTCTATATAATAAGTAATATAGAGCAGGATAGTGTTCTTGGCCTATTGTTAAGGTAAGACTCTTACAAGAATTAAACCCAGCTCTGATGATGTCCATCATATGATGGATGAAAGCTCAGCTCAACATGTATGTTAAAAGGGTGAGATAGGGATCATCAAACCCTGATGGCCAAAAACTGACGTTCATTTTTGCACCACTGCGTGTTTCGTGCATAAGCGAACACAAACAAGCC